GCCTTTGGAGACGGCTTATGGTAGAGAAATGAACATTCAATTCACGGGCAACAGCTCTGGTGGACATTCCTGCAGTCAGCATGCCAATTGCACGCTCCCTCAAAACTTGCGACATCTGTGGCATTGTGCTGTGTCATAAAACTGAACATTTTAGAGTGGCCTTTTATTGTGGCCAGTCTAAGGCACACCTGTGCAATAATCATGCTGTCTAATCAGCATCTTGATATGCCACACCTGTGAGGTGGGATGGATTATCTCGGCAAAGGAGAAGTGCTCACTAACACAGATTTAGACAGATTTGTGAACAATATTTGTGTGAAATGGTCTTTTGTGTTTTTAGAAAATGTTTTAGATCTTTGTGTTCAGCTCATGAAAAATGGGAGCAAAAACAAAAGCGTTGCGTTTATATTTTTGTTCAGTGTATATATATATGTACATACATATAAATTAACAGGTGATTTCCTTCTCTTTTACCAAAATCCTAAATGATTGAGTTGTTTTTTTTTTCCTTTATGCTCTGTCATTTCTCCTCTAATCATCACGCTGTAACCTGTGACAGGCTGTTACGTTACAATAACTATTGCACATACACATATATGTATTTTTTTGTCGACCACAAGCGTCACATAGGTTTACATTGCCAAAGGTTTATGACAAAATCACTTGACGACACTGACTCCTGTGTGATGTCATGTATCTCTGCTCTGTGACAGGATGAGCACAGGGCCACAGTTGAAGACAGGGAGGAGCCTCCTCCGGTCCCAGACCCAGATGAGTTTGTGGCCCCAGCCCCTCCCCCCTCCTACTTCTCCACCTTCTACTCATACACACCACGCCTGGCTCGCAGGTAACAGCTCCTCCACCTGTGTTCTGTACTTTAACTTTACTTACATTTTTACTTTAATCCATTTTTAGTGTTGATGTGTCACTTAAGCATGATTGAACATGAAAACTCACTCACTGGTTGGCTGTGTGTGTGTTTCAGGATCCTTGGGGACAGTGTGATCCCTCTGCCTCATATCTACGGGGCTCGGATCAAAGGGGTGGAGGTCTTCTGTCCATTGGATCCTCCACCTCCATATGAGGCTGTTGCTGGAAGCTCCCCCAATGCAGTCACACAGGTACACTCCAGATTTGCATCTTTTACACTAACATTACAGCTCAACTGACACTGGATTTTTTAGACCAGTAAAAGGGGTGGGACCTCATGATTCGATTCGAATTCAATTTAGAGGGTTATAGTGTGATTATAAAATTATTAGCAAGGCATCTTAATGTATCAAAATGTTTGATTTCTATGCATGGTTTGTATTTCTCAATGTGTGAGCACTTGCTGCTATAATAACAGCATATTTGTATTCCAGTAGGATGCAGTGCTTAGGCTCAGCTCTACTCACCAAAACTCAAGAGGTAGCCTTGCTTATAATGTAAACACGACCCACATGTTTATGTCCTCTATGTTACACCATCCAATTTGTAGATTTCTGCACTGAGACATAATCTTTTAGGAGAGAATCACAGTGCACCTAAGATGCATCTGTTTTTTCCCCTCTCCTAGCTGGAACTGACATCAGTATTTAAGAGTTTAAAAAAACAGATATGCATCAATACTAAGCGGCAACCTCTGAGGCTGAAAAATTAAACTAACGTGGGTGTGCCAAAAACTGCACTTAGTTGAGAGGCCACTTGGTTTCACAACAGTATATCCCCACAGACCCCCATGTTAAAATGTTCAGCTTTACAGCAGAAATAAACATGTTTACAGCCTGGTACAAAAAATGGTTGTGGTCTCTCTAGCCCAGTTCATCTAGTTGCATTGGTGTGAACCGGCAGGATTTTAGAACGTTGCAGAATGGCGCATTGCAAGTAGTTGCCTGTTTCAACTTGTCTGGTCGTGAATCTTTGGTGTGAACTGGGCTTATAGCTTATGTCAACATTCACTGCAACTGTATGGGAGGTGACTGGGTGATTACTATGATGGATCACTGATCTCAAGCAAAAACATGGATTTTGCAGTTTTTTGTACTTTAATTTTTGGGGTATTTAATTTCATGCATCATGTTAAACTGTTAATAATAATGCATTTAAGAATATTTGGAAATTGTTCAGAACTTCTGGGTGTAAAGAGACATTTGAATTTGTCAATAAACTGTAATCAAATCAAATCAACTTTATTTATATGGCACTTTTCATACTACAGTAACACAAAGTGCCTCACAGAGGTTAAAAACAACAAAGATCCAAAACAGAAAACAAAAAGAAAAGAGAAAACCCAACCCTCCCACCCCACATAGAGATACGTAAATATACATATACATATACACACACACACACACACACACACACACACTAGCTATCACTAAAGAGACATGGCCTAGCACCGAGACCCGAGGCAAGGAAAAAGCCACCTCTGGGGGCCGTCCACACCGAGAGGGCCCATGGTCCATGGCCACAGGGAGCGCCGTCATAGAGACACCCCGACCCGGGCAGACAGGAGGCTCCACACCGAGGTGCAGTGCCCTTCAGCCACCCAGGTCAGAGCGGTCTCCCGACGGCACCCCCATCGGGAGACCAGGAACAACTCTCAGTGTGGTAGGCCCCCATGAGGAAACACTGG